GTCTTTGGAAATGTCCTCCTCATGGCCTATATTTAACGGAAGCCTGGAGAATAAAGGCTGAAGAATAAGAGGCAAATTCTTGCGAACCAGGCATTTAAGCAAATTGAAGTTTATTTTTTCCTTTTTCCTTCCCCACTCCTTTGAGACGTTCTTAAAAAATAAGTAGGCAGGACGTGACGTAATATATCATCTCAAATACACATTGGAGTAAAATCGCAAAATCTCCTTTTGCAAGTATACTCTGGCACGCCTTAATAACATTATTTCTTCCAAAATACCTCCATCAATCACACACAAGTCCCTAATCTGAGACGCACAATTGAGATGGAGACTGCTGCATTCACGAAATGGAATAAAGGGCCACACACATGCCTCGGCCCATCTCTTTGTTCGGCTGCCCATTTTCCACTGAGTCTTTGCGCCACATACCCCGGTCCGTCCACGTATATCTGCGCACACATTACTCAAAATATAAAATGTAAATTATGTGATTTCTTTTGGTAGATTGATCATTGATTTATGAGATGTCATTGTTGCTGCTGCAAGATTGAGACCCAAAATGAAAGAGCGGTTCTTGCCCCTCGAGTAATAATTGAGGTTCAATATTTAGGCTGTGTATGGAACAAACAACCTCACAAGAAAATGTTTACCTTGGTACTTAGAGAAATAAGTTTTTATTACGAATAAATGCTACTATGGGGGTGTCGGGGTGACTAAAGAGTACTATTTTGTGTGTGTGTGTGTGTTTCTTTCTTTCTTTTGGTTAGATATAGATATTGTTTTATTGAAAGTAATTCTATTCGAGATATTATTGAGCATTAAATGTAAACATCTCTTTCAACGAAAAATTCGAGTCTTAGTTAAGTATAAATTTGTTTGGAATGACTTATAAATATATTTTTGAATCATGATTTATGGAATACAAAGTTTGTGAACATGAGTTTTGTTTTGGTTAACTTAAAAATACTTAACAAACACTAACTTAAAGGGGTACTTGAAAAGCTGTAAAAGTGCTTTTCAAAAGTATGTTTCACAAATCGAGACAAAACCTTCACATATTTACTTTATATACCTAATAAAACTACTTTAAAATTATGGTTTCGTTTCCCTCCAAACACCTCCTAAATGAGCACCATATTGTGGGGACTAATTATTCTCGCTACATCTAATCTTCACTGATTATTTGTATTTTTCTTTCTCTATCAGTTTACATTTTCTTTGATGTGATCCAAGCGGTGGTGCTCAGCCTCGCACGCATGCTACTTGTCTCAACAGCAATTTTTACAAACGCACAATTTGTCCAACTATTACACTCCGATATAATCCACATTCATGTGATGGGTGATAATAATTTGTGAGAAATTAATATTATAACCACCAATGAAACGCGAAGAGGAACTCATTCTATGTGATATAATTATAATACATGGGAAAAAGACACTAAAATACCCTCAAAATTACTAAATGATAAAAGAGGGTAGGTAAATTTCAAAATCCCAATTCAGATCCCAGATACTATTTTGGAATTTTCAAATGTTGTAAAATTACACAAATGCCTTTTTTTTTACTTTTTTTTTAAATACTGCCACATCAGCAATTCTGGCCGCGGTGACCCTGCTGGCGACCAACTGCCGGAGCTCCTTGTGACTGGTTACGGAGTTCCGGTGACCGGTCGCCGAGTTCCGATAACTACTCTTTTTTAGCTATTGACTACATTTATTTTTAAATTCTGATGACTACTCTTACTTATGTATTGACTACTTTTTTTAGCTATTGATTACATTTATTTTTAAATTCTGATGACTACTCTTGCTAAGCTATTGACTACTCCAGTAATGCGATTTACTACTATTGTGTAGTCAATATCTATATAAAAATTCATTGGAACTTTGAAAACAAAAGTTGTCAATAGTTAAAATAGAGTAGTCAATAGCTATATGAAAGTAGTCACCGATAGTAAGGACAATGTTGTCATTTTACAAGATTTGAAAATTCCAAAATAGTACCTGGGGTCTGAATTGGGATTTGAAATTTACCTACTCTAATTTGTCATTTAGTGATTTTGAAGGTATTTTACTGTCTTTTTGCCATAATACATTGTTCGGTTAAATTATCAGAAGCCAATCATCAATCAATTTCTTGTATAGAAAGAAGCGTGTTATTATAAATTTACTGTTTCACATATCCTAAAAGGTTACTATTCACATGTAATATCAGAATCGTGAGCCCTTTTTTTTTTGGGATATCATATCACGCATTTAAATTTAAATCTCATACATTATTATTTTCAATTTATATTTGTTTTATGTTTGGGGAAATCAGCCGCACCACACGATTGCTCATATTCGTAGTACGTACTGTTAGTGATGGCAGTAAAAGAACGATCATAGGATTCGGCGTTTTGCTCTGTGTTGTAGAAACGAGGTAGCTCCCATGTTTTCGGAATCTCAAGTCCTTATTAGTATTGCATGGAGGCCACGGCGCTTAAGTAAGGCAAACTCGATATCCTAATTAATTAATATCAGCAGAATTAGTTAATTATCGAATAATTAAAAATGAGGGGGAAAAGATTCAAGTTGAGTAGAAATGTTCAATATTGATGTACGTCCAATAAGCTATGGAATTATTACAAACTGATAACTAAGAGGGCTACATATATATATATATATATATATATATGTAATATGCCAAGAAGACAACGCATGCACTCACTAGTCACTCTGCAGGATGCTGAATTCACACTGCAACTTATTCCTCACAATCAAACCTCACCTCTTCTCATCATTAAAATTTAAACTTCATATACAGCAACTTGATTCTAAGATGATTAGTCACCCCCACCACCGTAGCCACCACCGTGGCCGAACCATACCCAGATCCACTGCCGTTGCCGGAACCTCCATACCTGCCCCCCCTCCTCCTCCTCTCTCCACCCCCACCACCGCCACCCCCCCGCCACCGCCTCTGCCCCCGCCCCCTTCTCCGTAGCCACCTCCTTCACCATAGCCATAGCCAGAGCCATAACCAGAACCCCCTGAACCACCCCCGCCACCTCCGCCTCCACCTCTGCCGCCACCTCCGCCGCCACCTTTTCCGCCACCAGACCGTACCCAGACCCGTATCCCGAGCCATAGCCGGAACCCCCAGAGCCACCACCTCCTCCTCCACCCCCTCCTCTGCCGCCGCCGCCACCTCCTCCTTCAATCCCACCATATCCCTCACCCTCGCCAGAACCATAACCAGAACCGTATCCGGAACCTCGTCCAAGAACCCTTCCTCCACCTCCGCCAACACCCCGCCCTCCGCCTCTGCCGAAGAGCCCATCGGGCACTACTCGAGCCGCAAATGCGAGGTCCAAGGCAAGCAAAACGATCAAGGCAGTGGCTATGAGCTTAGAGGCAGCCATGTGCAGAGGAAAAGCTCAACGCACGTGGAAGCTCAAGAGAAGAACGGAAGCCAGTAGAAGGGAAGAGGAATGCAGTTGGATGGGAGAGAGTGAGGGGTGGAGGCCCCTATATATAGGCATTGCGGAGTTCTAGCACCTTCCTTTTGGTACATAGAAATCAAGAAATGGGAGCATTGAGGAGGTGGGAGGCATATGATGGTGTAGGAGTCGTAGTGGGGGGGCTATCTATGCTATGACCACCGTCTGGGAGCTAAGCTTGTCTTCACCATCTTTCCGCAATTCATTCCTGTCCATACCTCCACTTTTGACCTCCCCAGCTTCCTTCTTTTTCTTTTCTTTTAATTATATGTGTGTGTGTGTGTGTATCATAGTACACATCCACATCCAAGTCCACTCTTGTCAATTCTGTTCATATGAGAGCCACTATGAGTGAGTGGTGGATTCAGATATTTAATCATAAATTTGTCAATCCTCCTCCGCCTCTCTCCACCACGTTCATTATATAAATTCTGTGAGCCACATTCTTGTCTATATATCTTCTCCCCTCTTATTTACAAACCACTTCAAGAAAAAAAACTTTGTGATCTTTTTTATAATTCTTTATTATAATTTTCTCCTTCTTCCCTATTCAATATTGCTATAGGAAAAAAAAGTAAGAAATCAATTTAAAATGTATTTAATATGGGAAAAATAAGAAACATAAGCTTGTTTGTGTTTCAGATAAATTTAATGAATTTTAAGCTTTTCTTGCCTTTTGATGGGAAAGTGGCTTATAGATGAAAGAGAACGGAGCACATTTATGGTCCCATTAATTATATCTCAAAGTTGTGCTTCGCATGAAGCAGTTGTGTATATAAATTGTGGCGTGTATTGTATTGTTGGCGCATGTATGTGAGCACTAATGAATATTATATATAATCGCAAATGATCAGTCACTGCGAGTGCCAACCTCCGGTCAATTGAGTGATTCACTGATTAGAGATAGGTTTCGAGGCATATAATAGTTAAATGGCAGGGACTCTGACAGCTTTCAAATTCTCATTTCCCTCTTCCCGTCCAGTATCACGCACAAAACACGTGCTATCTATAATATAGGAAGGATACGATGTCCCACATAATTATTTACAAGATATATGTATGAAGTCCCTAATGAATTTGTTAAAATAATGAATAAGAGAACAATTATGAATGATGGGTGATGGTGTGTGTGTGTGTGTGTGTTGTGTGTGTGTGATTGCATCATGAATCATTTTTACTCTGATTGTTTGCATAATTAGGTGAGGAATGAGCACTCTAGCTGTTCTCCACATTCGATTGTCGATCGTATCTTAGTGGGGTGATGGTTTTATTTATTTATTTATTTGATTAAAGTACGTACAGGAAAATGTATATGATGAACTATACATTGATGCAAATTTAATTTAATTAGGGCTTGGAATGAAAATAGTATATATAATGGCCTTATTCATATAAATATATAGATTAAAATATGGAGGTTGGGAGAGGAGCGGATGATATTATGCATATAAAATGGGGTAATATGAACAAGGAAAAGGAACATAATGGGGGGTGGGAAATGGAATAAATAATGGGATGAGAGGTGGGAGGGGGAGAGCGGCACACGCGTCGCCCCACCTATTACGCAACGAGGGGTATTTGTGAGTCACCTACCCAGACACACACACACACACACACACATATATGGTGTTGCGTATATATAAATAATCCATCACCATCCATCACTCTGAGTCACTTGGCTTTGCTTCTCATGTACGCCTCCTCCTCCATGCTGGCCGTGGTCCTTCCTCCACTTCCTTCCCTATGTCTCTAAGCATATTGTTGTAAATGATATATATTCACTTTCACTATCCAAATTAATTATTTCCGGCCCATATACTTCATTCATCATTATCCTTCACTATACATACAAGATATTAATACACTAATTAACCGTGCATGCATATATAACAACTACTACAACTATTATTCTAATATAATTCACTGTTGGTCTTTTGCAATGAATATTATTTGTCCATATATCATTCTTTTTTAAAAAAAAAAAATCAGAATACGCATGACATTATATATATGTGGGATGGGATTCACATGATATGAATGTGTTTGCAAATGCAACTCGTCCGCATACGTGCATTGTTGTGCACTGCTCATTGGTTAGGTTTGCTCTCATACAGTCAAAGAGTTGTTTATGCATGCCTGTGTCCTGTCATCGATCTAATAAAGTCAATCACAATTATTGATCCATATATATCAAAACACCACATATTATACATACACATGCTTCCCATTAATTACTACTTTTATAATGCAGGGCACTAACATTATACTGTTATCATTGCTATTGGGGTCAGCCTTTATAAACAATTAATCATCATCTTCACTGCGGCTATATGACGATGGACGCGAATGAGCACATGTATAAAAAATAATAGTCGACTAGCTAACTGGTCAAAGTATATACATATACATATACATATACATATATACATATATATATATCCTTATCAAAAAATGTGTGCGCGTGCGTGTGTGCGTGTCTATAGAGATAGAGAGAGCGAATGCTGAATGGCTCACTAAGCATAATCTATGATCGCAGCCTCCTTCATAATTTAATACTGTGGGTTCTCTCCATCAACACGTACGTACATATATTCTTGCTTAAAGTTTGTAATCATTTAATTAACCACATGCTCTATATATATTCCGGTAATAATTTGCTTCTGCCGTGATATATATACTGCCACCTTCTTAATATAATATTCATATGACTAATTTAAAAAGATTAAAAAAGCTAAATAAATAACTTAATTATAATGTATGTTGCATGCTCTTTTTAGAATACACTTATCTATATCATTAGGTTACAATTTTGTCACATAATTTAAACATATAAAACCAGGATGCCTTTTTGCATATATCCATGTGTGTACTTAATGAACTGATTGAAGTTTAATTAGTGTGTTTATAACACAAATAATAAAACAAAGGAGGGACAAGAGTCAAGCATGCAAAAAATAGACATTGAAAGTGCTAAAAATGAACAAAAACATCCTCAAAGTGCTCTCCTCCGCTGCTCGCCTTTCCCATTTTACCCGTCCGTACGTCACCATCCTCCTCTTCCCTCTCCCTCCTAAAGGGCCCTCTCCTCCTTCCCGCCCCACCCCCATCCCCATCCCCGCGAGGAAGAAAGGAGAGATCTCTCGCTTCTCACCCCTCTCTTCCTCCCCCCATGGCTCTTCCCCTCTTTCTCTTCCTCTTCCTTTCCGTTCCTCTGGTTTCTGCCGGCGGCCACCATCTCAGCCTCGACTACTACTCCCGCACATGCCCCGCCTTCCAAGCCATCGTCAGGGACAACGTCTTCACCAAGCAGAGCGCTGTCCCCGCCACTGCCGCCGGCGTCCTCCGCCTCTTCTTCCACGACTGCTTCACCGATGGATGTGACGCCTCCCTCCTCATCAGCTCCAACGGCTACGCAAAGGGCGAGCGCGACGCCGTCCCCAACCAATCCCTCTCCGGAGACGCCTTCGACGTCATCACCAAAATCAAGAACTCCCTGGAGCTGACGTGCCCAGGCGTGGTCTCCTGCGCCGACATCGTGGCCCAGACAGCCCGAGACCTGGTCAAGATGGTGGGGGGTCCTTACTATGACGTATTGCTGGGGCGAAAGGACAGCCTGGTGTCGAACATCTCAAAGCCGAACGAGACCCTGCCCGAGACGAGCATGTCGATGGACCAGATCATATTCCGGTTCACGGCAAAAGGATTCAGCATCAGGGAGATGGTGGCTCTCACGGGGGCTCACACCATAGGGTTCACGCACTGCAAGGAGTTCAGCCACAGGATCTACAACTTCAGCGCCGCGTCGGACGCGGACCCAACCATGAACCCGAAGCTGGTGGCGGGACTGAAGAAGCTGTGCGAGAACTACACCACGGACTCGGGCATAGCGGCCTTCAACGACGTGAGGTCGCCCAGTAAGTTCGACAACGCGTATTACCAGAATATTCTGAACGGGCTGGGCCTGCTGTCGACGGACTACATGATGAGCGCCGACCCGAGAACGAGGCCCATAGTGGAGGTGTACGCCAACAATCAGACGGCGTTCTTCCATGACTTCGCCGCCGCCATGCAGAGGCTTTCGACGCACCGGGTGAAGACCGGGAAGAAGGGAGAGGTGAGGCTGAGGTGTGACCAGTTCAACAACCTTCAGATGTAGAGAGGGGCTATGTGAATCGGCCTATTAATTTCAAACACTTGAGGCTTTATATTATCATACAATATATACGTATAGATCAGAAACAGCCGTGCATGGGCATATCATCATCCCACTGTCATTTCATTTATGCATGTGATAGCGGAAGCCAACATTCAAAGGGATCGATCTAATTCTGCATATGCTTGGATTGTGATCTTCTTTTCTTTTTCTTTTTTTCCCCCGCTGGCTTTCCCGTTGATTCTTTTGTCGTTTCATCACAAAATGAGTAACAACAGGGTGATTAGATTCCTGCTAATTTATCCCTGACTAATATAATATTATCATATCTACCATAATACAGTAATTAGTTGTGGCATTGGACATTACGTTAATTGACTACTACCCGATGCTATTACACTTTACCCCCCCCCCTTTGTTTTAATCCTTCACCGAGTCAAAGGAACTCACACACTCGTAATATTTACAGAGGATTGAACTCGTAACCTTTAAGAACATGTTCAATAGCGTTGTATCTTAACACCCCAGTGCCTTAAACAAATCATTCATCATTTGTTTTAAACAAAAGACCCACATATATTATTTGTTGTTTGCATCGTTCTACCTCATATATCAATTACTGGCACAGATCACGTGCAATCATACCGCCAGCAATCCATTGGATGCTTACTGAAAGGACAAGGCCCACGGCTTCGAATTAATATAGATCCATGTAAATGTAATAATGGGCTAGCTTCTCTGTCTGTGTGTGTGTGTGTGTGTGTCGCCACTGATATATTGTAAAGCGTTTCAATTATTATGCAGATGGATGCCACTGTTCAAAAACATACTTTCAATGTCAATGTCACCTCCAATATTTTCATAATATAATATAACATGTTTTGTTTAAAGTATTAATTTTTTCACTTACAATATTCCTAACTAATTACTCCTTCCGACCCTTAAATACAAGCTATATATTTGAGGGGTTGAACTTAACTCTAAATATGTAAATTTGTGAATTGACACACACACTATAATATTATGCATGGGTATTCTTGAGTAAATATCTTATATTGTCATCATTAATTAATTAATTAATTTTAATTAATTTGACTTTTTAAGTCCATTTAAACTAGTTAAGTAGTTCTTCTATTAAAAAAAAGAGGAATATTAAAACTTAACTAACCAAACTCCTACATCCAATAACTTTTGTTAATAATAATTTTCATATTTTCATGAAAATAACTAATTTTAATTAATTTGTTAATCTATGCAGAATTATTAGTAGGTTTCTATAAAATAGGTATAGAGGGGGAGATTATTTATTTAGATTAATGGGGTGTTTGGCTATCTCCCCAAACCATGGTTTGGAAAAAAATTTGCCAAACACCCTATAAAAATCTCAAACCATGGTTTTGGGGACAAAACTATGGTTTCGGATAAAGCCACCAGAAGCTGCTTCTGCTTCAAATTATTGAATATTGGTGGTGGGCCTAGGAAATATTACACAGAGCAGGCGTCAATTATTTGCTTCCTCCTTCACTCTTCACCAAGCTCCTGGTAAGAAATAATCATATTTTTTGTTGGCAAAATAAATTATTTTACAAAAAACATATTTACTTATTTTATTAATATATATACGTATTAATTTTTTTATTTATATTATTTATGTCTTATTTATGATGTTGCCAAAATATATATTATTAACAAATTTATTACTTCAAATAAACATATATTATGAAATATATCTTATATGTAATTATCATTTAAACTTATATCCTTTTTAGTAATTTCTACATATAGAAAAGTACTTCTGACAACAACTATCCAAACACTCTCACTTTATCAGAATCACTTTTTCAGAAAATCTATTCTTTCAAAATCTATTCTCTCCAGAATCTATTCTCCTGAAACTATTCTCCAAACCATAGTTTAGCTTCATCCAAACACCCCCTAAATTGTGTTACTATCAATAAGTTCTTAACAAAGAAAGCGTGAGCTCACCCTTAAAAAAAAAAAAGAAGAAGAGATAATTGTAATAGAGTCTCATGAAAAGAAAATAATCACCAAATTAAAATGTTTCAACGACAAATGAGAAGTTGTTATTTTCTACTTTAAAACTTGTCATCACAGGTTGCTCAGTTATTCCTCTTAATATATGACCCAATTATTAAGTTGGTTTTGGTCCTAAATATAAAACTCATTTATCATATTTATCAGTTTTCTCTAAATTACCCCTATAGGTACTCCCTCAACCAAAATCAAGTAGAAGAGGAAGATGAGCTATTAAGAAAGATGATTATGGTGTTTTAGGAAAAACGCATCACATTTCTTATAATTAATTAACTTACCTAACTTCCTTAATCTAATCAAATTAGTCAAATGGGTCTTATATTAAGGACCGGAGGAGTATTAGAATTCTATAGCAATTATGTTCTTTGTTGAGATTTTATTACAATTCTTCCCCAAAAAAAAAGACCTTGCACATTAGCGGCATTTTTTTTTTCATGCGTTCGCTGTGTTTTAAGATGCCGTAGAAGTTTAAATATTACTTCTAGTCCTTAATATAAGAGGTTATTTGATTTTTATTTTGATTCTAAATATAAGACCCCAATCTACTTTATCTCTCATATTTTTCATTTTTTTCCAAGATAGTCCTTGTAATAACGAAAATCCTTGCCAATATACTTGATTATCAAGGATATTTTAGGAAAGAAAAAATATATTTGTTACAAATAACTAATTTAATTAGTTTTCTTAATCTACTCAAATTAGTCAATTAACTTTTTATATTAAGCACCAGAGGTAGTATATACTTATTTTCTTGAATATTACTGCAAGGAATGATCGAGTCTGGTCAAATATACTTATTAGCATGATCATTAGATATATTTTCCTGTAAGATATAAATTGTTTTGTAGGAGGTTTTGATATAATTTTAAGAAAATATGTGGGAAATGAACAAAAGTTTTTAATTTGCTACTTGCGATAATTTTGATTGAATGATTACGCCCTTTTTACTTTTGATATTTTAATCTTAAGAAATAATATTAACATTTAAACAAAAATCTATTTGATATTCTTAAAAATTAAAGAGATAAATTTCACAAGCTCAGGTTGAAATATCTTCCTTAACTATTGTCTCAATATTAAAACAATATTCTTTTTTCCCTTTTTTTTTTTATAAAAAGAATCTTCGTGAAAGGCCAAGAGAATCTGCCAAATAATGGAGAGATTCTGAGGAAACTAAAAGAAGGCCTAGCAAATTGAATCCATGTTGCGATATGAATATATTCATGACGCGCACAGGCCGGTGACCACTCAGAAAACAAACAATTTGTGATTTATAAGTCCGCTCACTCCATAATCCGTCATTGCATGTAAATCCAAACCTTGAAACGACGTTTTGTGGATTATGTTTACTGTACATTGACTCTTGACGTGTCATTTCCGTAGCCTCACACCAATATTTCAAACCATCCTGTTCCTGTCTCCCCCCTCCATCTCCTTCCTTTCCCTTTGCTCACTGCTTACTTCTCCAACGTCTGCACCCTGAAACAGGCACTCTCTGTCAAGACAAGCGTCCTTTACTTTCTTCCGTAAGGAGAAGCTCTTCTTGAGCTTCTTTATCGGTGGTGCATAGATAAACCTTTTCTTTCTTATCTGAAATTCTGTGCCCCTCTCTCTCTGCTGCCATGGCCGTGGCAGAGTTCAAACCCTCTAACACCATAACCATCTTCGCTCTTCTTCCCAGCTCTCAATTCTATCGAAACGTCTCAGTCTCACCAAACCATACCACTGTACTTTCCGAACTCTTAATAGAACCCAAAATGCCAGGATATCTTGCTCTATTGCTCCAAAGTAAGCTCCTTATCTCTCCCCCCACCTCTGTTTATTTAACAAATTCAACTCAATGAATATGAGTATTTTTTCAATTTTTTGTCTTCTCTTTCTGCCCAGTGAAGTTCAAGCGCCAGCGGTGCAAACCCAAGACCCCAAGAGTAAGCCTGATTGCTATGGTGTTTTCTGCCTTACCTATGATTTGAAGGCTGTAAGTACCCTTCTTTCGTTCAGCAATAAGCACCGGTGCTTACTAAAGAAAAAGATAGAATTTTCTGACTCCAGATTGCATTTAGACACTACATATTTGTTGTTTCTTGCGTTGCTTCTTAGATTTTGTCCATGTAACTATGTTGCAATAAATGTTCTTGAACCCACAATCTGGGTTTTATAAATGCTCTATGAAGCAACAGTTTGAAGACAAAGTCGCATGGACTATTTGTATTGCATTGTGTGTCGTATTTGTGTCAGTATTCGTGTTTTTCTAGTCCATGATTCTGTAAGTATGCTCTTTCTTGGTACTGATTGGTTTGTGGGTTTTACTATGGTGTTTGTTTGACTTATGGAGCAATAACTGCCTGTTTTAAGGTTTTGATGGCGTTCCTTTTGTTTCCCATTATGTGCATAATGATGCATAATTCCCATGGTACGGGTTGGAGCATCTTTGTCCTTATCCATACATCTTCTCTGCTTTTCGGAAGTGTGATGTATTCAGATGTTTGTAACTTTCTCTTTTGTATGTGTAGAATCAGATGCTTGACTTTTGTTTATACGTGTCCTCATTAATTTTTTGTGTTGGTGACTCCAGTAAAAACAATAAGATTCTTAAGATATATCTTGACAATTAGTTTTTGCCTTTTCGTTTATACCAGATTTTTATCTTACTAGTTAAATTGAAATGAGGAAACATTTCATAGCACAAGCAGGCTAATAGTAGTTCTTCTTTTTAAAATTATCTCCATATTTTTAACTTGACATGAACTCAATGCTAAGTGGATATGCTTGATATCAACTCAATGCTAAGTGGATCTGCTTAGTGTAGCAAGACTACCATCTGTTCTTTATCGTCCGGACTCTTAAATCTTTTGATTTAATTGGAGTTCACTGGTAATGGCCAAGTTAATGAGCGAATTCAACAAGTATCAATATATGTATATACTATCTCCTGATATCTAAATTTC